GGTGAGGACCAGCTCTTCTTTACTCCAAATTGCAGGGGTGAGAACTGACTGTTTTAACCTACCGGGGAATCCTGTTGCCCTTGCCACTCTTTGGTTCAAGTCACCTGATAGGAAGGAATGACATGTAATCCAACTTAGGGCTCTAAATATTGGAGGCTTAGGGGACAGAGCACACCTCCAGGGGGCCCTGCACAGTGTGGTGCGCAGAGTGAACCCTGGACAAGCTGGAGCACTGAGCCCCGGGAGGAAGTGAGAGTTAGGGTGGCCTCGGTGCTGGGGGAGGAAGAGCAGAGAGAGGGAAAGAAACAGGGCCTGGCCCCTTTTTAGTCATGAATCACACAACCTGGTACTGCCTTTACTTTCAGTAAAAAAGAAAATCACCTTTTCTGAGTTCGTATCTGTGTTACCTGTACAAAAAAAGTTCTAAATGATATGGACCGCCCGGCCGGGCGTGGCTCCGCAACTGAGCGGCTGCCTAGGATCCAGGCGATCGGGTTCGATTCCCGGTCAGGGCACATGCCCGGGTTGCGGGCTCCATCCTCAGTGGGGGGCCTGCAGGAGGCAGCCGATCAATGACTCTCTCATCATTGACGTTTCTATCTCTCTCTCTCCCTCTCCTTTTCTCTCTCTGAAATCAATAAAGATATATTTTTTTAAAAATAATAATAAATAAATGATATGGACCATGAACAAAGTTAAAGACAAACTGGGAAAATATCTGCAATGGCAAAGACAAATAATTAAAACCCTTAATAAACAAAGAGCTACAAATAAATACGAAAAAGAAAACTTTTTTTTTTTAAAAAAAGAAGAATATATGGGTAGCCACTTCCTATAAGAAGAAATACAAATGATGAACAAACAATACAAATGGATGCTTAAGCTCATTTTAAAAAATGTAAATAAAACAAAGGGACACCATTTTTTACTTATAAGGTTGAAAAGAATGAAAAATATTGATATTACTTAGGGCTGAGGATATACAGAGTAACAAACTCTTTCATGTACTATTAGAGAGTGTAAGTTAATGATTTTCAAAAGAGTAATATACACTATTTCTATTAACACTTATATTTATAGCCTTTAACCAATCAATTCCACTCCTGAAATTTTGTTATAAAAATCCCCAAACAAGAAGGCAAAGATGCATATAAATGTCTTGCAATATTGCTTATAATCGTGCAATGTTGAAAATGTCTCAAATATTCACCAGTTCAGAGTTAGTTAAATAAATTCAAGCTACATCGATGCAATGAAAAGAAGCACTCATGGGCTTCATAAGGGGTGAAGAATCTTATATGTTGCCATGAAAGATGCTTAAGATCAAATGAGAAAAAACTTGTAATATAAATGTGTGTGAAAAAAGTGTCTACATATTAAAATGATCTGAAAGAGCATCCTCATACTGTTAGCAGTGACTATATGTGGGAAATGGGAGTGATTCTGCCAGAAACCCACACGCACGGCCACACACACACACACGCACACACAACCACACTCGCCCCCACCACCCGGACCACATCCTGCCCCTGGGAGTTCAGCTGCTGCTTTGGTTTCTCGCCGGCTCGGTCTGTCAGTCACCTTTTCCCTACTCCACGCCTATCAAGACTGGGGTGGCACATGTGTGCAGAGGATTTAAAAACCATAATAAAACAGACTTAAAGTTGGTTTGCTTTATATTATCACCATACGCTTTCTAAACATGTCAGTGACAAAATACTGCCCCCAGCCGGGAGGGCTGCTCTTAGAGCCCCTTCCCTTGGTGGCGACTGTCCCTTCTACATTGTGATTCATTTGCTCATAAGTCCCATGTGCCATCTGCCGGGCAAGGGGCAGCAGGGGTTCAGATGGGCGTCTGATGTCGGTCCTGCCTCCGAAGAGCTCATTACGGAGCAGAAGTAGCCAACAAGTGCGCACATACCAGAAACCAGCAGCCTCTCTGGGGCTCAGCTGACGGCACGACCTTCCCCCCGAAGCTGGCTGGTCACCAGCTGCCCCGGCTGGGCCCTATCCTCACCCCTCCTATCTCGATACCCTCATGCTGCCCTGCACCTGAGGCCCTACTGTGTTTCCTCACCCCGGGGGTGGGCAGGAGGCTCTTTGACCCTTTGATCTATCTCCAGTGCCCATCTTTGCCTCCCTCTGTCTCCAGTGTCCAGATCACCCCTTTACCCTCCACTTGGCTCCTGAGAGTGTTACCTGAAAACCCCTTTCCTGGAATCTTCCCTAAAACCTTGGAAACGGTTGCTCAGAGTGGCTGTCTGAAGCCTTTAGCTGGCAGTCAGAGGCCCCTCGCTGGGCCCACGGAAGTGGTGTTTCCCCAGAGGGCTTCTCTGGAATAAGGGGTTCACTGGGGAGGGCAGGGCCCTACTCCATCAGCTTTAAAAATAGGCACTTCATGGAACAGAAAGAAAAGCCATCCACCCAGCCGAACCTGAGCCTTGTAACAGAGAGGGGAGTGTGTGAGCAGAACAAGAGGGAGATCCAATTAATTACCCTTAGAAGCAAAGGTAAAAGTTGAAGATTACGAGACCTATTTACAGGAGGAAATAGACCCATCATTGAGCCTAGAGAATGGAAGGATTGTTTAGGGCAGAAAAGCGTCTCAATGTTCGGATTCCATTCCTTTTCTGGAGCTTTGGAGAGAGGAAGGTCATAGCTTGGGTTTGGAAGGTACACTTAGCAGTGGGTTCAAACTGAGAGGGGGCTGTTGTCTTGGGTCCAGTTCTGGGCCCACATCCTGCCCCCACCCTGGGGAACAGAGCTTCAGTCCTCTCCGGGAGTTGATGGGGGCTGGCCAATGAAGGGCGCCCCTGTGAGAGAGGCCCCTCTGTTACCATCACAACGGCTGATGTCACAGACCCCACAGAGCAGCTGGGGCCCCAAACGCAGGGTAACCCTAACCCCACCGGCGATTGAAACAGATAGAGGGGCAGCTCTCCCACACAATGCCCGGGCCCCCACTTCCCTCCTCCTCCTTCCACTTCCTCAAGAGTCTTTGTCTTCTGGTCCCTTGGGCCCGGAGCCTCTCAGTCCCGGCAAACACTGCCCATTAAATTTAAAACTGAGGCCTTTGGGGAAAGGGTCTGGCACTTTCTTTCCCTCCCTCCTCTTATCTGACACTGGTGAGCAGATAAGAAGCCCGGCTGTGAGAAAAGGGGCACGCTGGTGACTGCCTCACATCCGTCCCTGCGTTGGCTTGGTCCCCCTCAGAGCACCAGCAAGGCCAAGGGCCCCTCTCCGGATGAGGCCTCCGGACAGACGCCGCACCAGGCAGTGTCTGGAAGCTTTGGGAAATGTTCTGGGGCGAGTCCGTTTCGGTTTGGCTTTGGCAACCCAAGGCCCTGGGCTGGATGCGCCCTCTCGCAGTCTCCCAACCAGCGGGCAACGTCTGTATCCTCAGACGTGCAGGGCCCTGGTGCCCCCTCAGTACCCTAGCCTGGTGTGGGGAAAGCTGGGAAGGATGGCTGCACTGGTCTTTCGGTATGAGCCGGGCTTCATGTGGGGGCTCCTGGAAGAGGTGGGGGCTCTGAAGAGGTGGTGGCAGAGGTCCAGGTTTTGGAAATTCTGCCGTCACTGCAGGAGGCAGGGAGAGGAGGTAACTGCTTGAAGCCCTGGCATTCCGTCACTGGAGATCTACATTTCCAAAGAGACGTGGTTATTACTCGGTATTTTAGTCTTGAATCTTTCTTAGACATTGATGAAAGCCATGCACCTTCTGTGCAGAAAAATTGGTGAATATAAGCCTGTGCACACATGTGCACACATACGCACACACATTCTAAGGGTCATGGACTTGAAGGGCTCATTCTAAGGGCTCATGGCTCAGAACTCTTGAATTCTAAAAGGAGGTATAAGTTTTAACATCAACATGAGAACAGAGGTTCCAGGTGGCACTGAGGAGCTGAGCCCACTGGAAGGACTGACAGGCTGTAGTCTGAGCTCACCTGCTGGGCTTGTACCTGTTTCATGCATAGGACCTCGAGAGGCCTCCCTCCTATTAACCCTGCGCTGGGCCTGGGGAGGGAAAGCCGGGAGGCAGAGCAGCTCTGGGCGTTTCTGGCCAATGCTCAGCCATAAGGTATGTTACGGAATTGGAGAGGAGCGACGGAAAGGCCTTAAATATATGCGCTATGTCTAGGTACTGGCTAAGTGAACATCCATCCAGCGCCCGTTCACACTTCACGACCCTGCTGTAAGTTAGGGACTACTGTTCTTTCACTGACAGGATTATGGGATTTAGGGAGGTGACGAAGGTCATGCAGCCAGTGAGTGGCACAGCAGGGATGGGAGCCCAGGTCTCTCAGGCATCAATATTCAGATTTCTTTCCATCCAATTCCGGTGGCTTCCACACCAGCCCAGGGAATGAGCAGGCTGGGTGCTGCTACACCATTTCTGGCCTTCCCATGGTTTCAGATGTGCCCACCAGGCTCCTCACTGTCTTCCCAGCACACACACAACTCACGCCAACTTTTCACTCCAATGTAGTACGAACCTAAAATACTCCCGCAGCTTAACAAAGTTGGAATTTAATTACTTCAAGGCCCAGCTCACTAACATCCTGCTTTCTTTGCCCTGTCTTCCCTGAGCAGACCGGTTTCTCCAGCAGGCCATGAAGCTGTCCCTCTCCCCTCCCGAGTCTAGAACAGGCTCTCCCCCTCCCCCAAACTGGCTTCGTTCGGGAACATTCTACATCACTCTGTTTTGACTTGAGAACCTTCCCATGGCAGGGCCGGTACTCAAAACACACTGGCCCCACGTTGCCTCGCCTGGTGCTCCACATACATCAGGCATTCCAAGGGCTGTTCCTCCTGATGATGATGCCAGTGTGAACGGTGTAGACAGGAACACCTAACCCAGTGGTTCGGGATGTTTCCAAGAGCTCCTTGCCTATCTCCTCCCCAGCAGGCTTGGCCTGCTCTAGTCCCCGGGCCAATGTCTGTCACCCATGGGCGCACTGCGCAAAGAGGGCGGAGAAGAAAAAGCAGGAGACAACACATGGCTTCTGAAACAGGAACAAGGCTTTCTTGTTTAATAGCAGTTAAAGAGGCAAATGTATAGGAGGAAATAAACATGCTCTTTCCACACAGGTTTTCCAGTACCCATGAGGCCCCTCTGCATCAGCAGCTTTACTAGTGAGTTTTTAAAAAATTCCCTTTAGAGTTAAAAATGGACTCTCCTAAATTTCCTCAGTAAATGTGCAACTATTTGTACAAAATAAAAAGGCCACTTCCAACACATGAGTGAAAAGGAATTGTGAACTCAGGCAAAAAAAATAAAAACAAAAAAAGGAAGGAGGCGACTAGAGCAGCCAGGAGCAGGGTCCAGCGAGGAGGGAGGCTAAGATGGGGGTCCTGCGGCCGGCCCCAGGGCCTGCACTCGAGGGCCTTGTGAGGAAGGTCATAGCCAATGCCAGCCTCGGGGATAAAGGGCCCTGGGTCTGGGACCTGCTGAACAAGCGTGTGGCAAGTGTGTAGGGAAGCGAGGCTGGCCGTGAGGCCCGGGAGACTGTCAGGCCCGGCAGGCGACGGAAACAGGGGAACACTCTCTGGAAGCTTTATGTTCCCTTTGCCAACAGGGACTCTGCTGGGCCCAATTTCCATGTACTGTTTTCCCCACTGACCAACAGCTTCATTTACAATCTACTCAAAGAGACTTTCCTAAGAATGTTAAAACTGTACAAGCTCCCTCTGCTACTACTGAAACCCACCAGGGTCCCAAACCACACTGTCCTTTCAGGAACATGAACCTGGCTTCCCCAAGAACTTGGCGAAGGGTTCATGACAACTAGGAGGCTGGTAGGCTTCCAGTTGCCCATGTTCTCGCCTCTTATTGAGGCCTCCAGGCACCTCTATATCTCTGGGCATGTGAGGCCAGAGCTTAGGGATCTGAGGGGCATATGCTTCGCACAGGCCCTCTTAAGGGCTGGCCAGCAAGGGGCCTCTGGACAAAACTAAAAAATCCTACTTTACCAATGCAAACCACCTGGACAGTGCTGGTCCCTGATTTTACCTTCCCCTGCCCACCCGGAGTGTCCACAGACAACTCAGTAGCAGCCTGTCGGTTTCGCAGAAGACTGAGGCAGACTGAGAGACTGAGAGGGAAGATGAGAGCTACACGGGGTCCACCCTTATGAGCCTTGAGCTCGAACAGGCTCTTTTCTTGGAGGGACATCTGCGAGCCAGGGGCAGGGCAACCCTGATCCCCCTCCCCCATTATTCGCTTTTCCTCTCTAGCAGTTTTCCACGGTGCAGGTCTGAGGCCAGATCAGCAATGCTGACAAAAAGACAAAAATTGTGACACCCTCAATGTTCACTCCATTCCCACCTCAAAGTCTCAGTGCTCAAAGCTGATGGGATCTTGCTGCAAACAGGGGGCTAGGGAAGGAGGCTGGTTTGAGCCCATTTTAAGCAATAGGACTTCAGATTAGTGTAATCATTCCTCGATTTTCCAATAAAATCCAGGCCTTGGGAGATGGAATCCTGGGTTTCATCCCCATGGGGCCCTGCTTTCCCTTGACTTCTGAAGTTCTGGGTCAGTCCTCACCCTAAGACCCTGCTGGCCGCGGAGCCCCAGGTGAGCCTCCCGAGGCATCTGCCGGGGCGCGTGCAGCCCGGTCGCTCTGGTTTGGAGGCTGCACGTCTGTGCAGATTCTCTTCCCTGTGGGTTCCGGTTGTGATGAGTTAAGGAGGGGCCAGGGGTGGGGCATGAAAAAGCAGCACTGCCCTCCCCAGAGGCAACTCAGCGGCCGACAAAGGAGGTGAAGAATTCTGTTTGATGAGTGTCTCCTCCCACTAACCCAAGCTGGAAATACCTGTGTGTCTCAATTGTAATTGTTTGGTGATGCACAATTATACTCTTGCCAGGAGCCATCATAGCATCTTCCGGAAGTGTCTTAAAGAGCAGGCTCCTCTGAGTGACCTCATAGCACAGCCCCTGCATTAAGTCTCAGGAGCATCTGGCACAGTGGACAGTCTCCAAGCGAGCTGGTCCAGGATCCCTGTGCAGACTCCAGGGTTTGGAGGATAGGATGAAAGACAATCTTGCTCAGACAAGGCCAAAAGATGGCTATGGGGATCTCAGAAGGGGACAGGAGCTGTGGCCCTGAGCAGGAGCTCCGTATCCAGGATATGACTTAGTGAGGGGCAGCTGGGCACAGGCAACAGACCATAGCCATGGTTGGCCCAGGCTACTTCATGGTGACAATGGCTCCATCACTGGAGGCATCCGGTCCAGCTGTGCCTGCCCCCACAGTGCAGAGCTGGGGACATTTCCTTTAAAGATGGTGGCCAGAAAGCTGATTTTAAACCACAAAGGAACAATTGCACGGAATCTTCAGGTTTTACCTAAGGGTAAAGTAAGGGCTGTTTTTAGGCTCCTGGAATCTGACCTGTCCCAATGACACTGACGGAGGGGGCAAGTCCGAGACTCTGTGAGGACCCATGGAAGTAACTGTTGACCGATGCCCAGAGCCAAGGGCCTTGACCCTGAAAGGAGGAAATGAGAGAAACGGAGAAGGGGCTGGGGCTCCGATCCCATCCACACTGGCCTCCTAGCGTGGAGGCACCTACAGTTAGCCATGGGGTCCACTGCATGCTCAGCTCTATCCTGCCACAGGAAAACTAGCAGCAAAGGCATCGAGTCAGATCTAGGCTAAAGAACCTGCCATCGTGGAGACTGGAGTGAGGTTGTCATCTTGCCACATGCCATGCTTGTCACCAGCTCGTGAGAGTCAGTGGACTGAGGAGATGCCCCTCCAGAACTGTGTGTGGCCTTCAGCACACTAAACAGTGATGTCTGCCAGGCCCTTGCCTTGCATTGAGAAAAATCGGCCTCACCCAGGCGGTGAGTGGGGTGCCCGGGAGTGAACAAGATGCACTGTATCATTCTTTCGCCTGCTCACCTCACCTCCCGGTGCCAAGTACTCATTTTGTCTGTGTAGTGCCTGAGCCCCAGACCGAAGCTCCAGAGCCACGGTGAAAGGCAGTTCCTCACACGGGGACTGGTGACAGCAGCATCTCTGGGATGACGCAGAGAGTGTAGTAATAACTCCTGAGTCCCTGCCCAGCAATATCTCCTACACTTGCTTACTCGGCCTCTATTACTGTAGGGAAGGGTTATATGGATACTGTACACAGGTTATTAAAAAAATACATTTTCTCTCTTTGAGGAAGAATGCACAAACGCAGGGCCAGCCGGGCGGGCCCGGACTCTGGGGCTGCAGCGAGCAGCCGCTGGGGGCTCAGGGCAGCCCTCACGAGTGGTGGCTGCTGATGAGTCCGCGGAGCTGCTTGGCCACGGTGTCAATCAATTTCTGTTTGTCTCGCTCATTTTTACGAAACTGTGCGAACATGTTGTTCTTGCGGCTAGTGTCCTTCATCCTAAACAGAGAAGGAAAGAAAGAGAGCAAGTGTTTGAGGAGACAATGGTGGAAGGGAACTGGCGAGGGGTAGGGGGGCATAGTGCTCTTTAACTGCCGCCCAGCGTTGAGAGTCCAGAACATTCCCACTGTCAGGCTAACACTTGTCTGTTACTCAGGAAACTGTCCTGCTGGCACCTACAGTCCTCCCCAATTCACTCACCTTTGGAAACAGGCAAGAGCCAGCTGTGCAGGGGCTAACCCCCTTATGGCCCCTCCTCACCCGACCTGCCTCATTCCCTCTACCTCCAGGAACGCACCTGTTACAGGCAGGCGCCTGGGAATTGCTACAGCACCAATGGTAAAAGGCTCTACCAGCATATCTAGGATCCGCTTATCACCTCAGAAGCCCACTCACTCCTGCGGGGCCCTTAGAGCTGGTATTTGAAAGTTAAAGCAGAAAAATGCTCTCAACTAGCAATTCCAGGAGGACATGAAATAGCAAAGCCACTGTGCAACTCTAAACCTCACTATGGCTGGTTGCTCTCTTCCATCTCTAACAAGATTGAGGGCTGGATGGATCTCTCTTCTTTTGTCTCAGGGTAAGGACCCAGAGGTGGGGAGGTGCTGAGGAAAGCAGATGAACCCCACTCTCTCACTTGATAAGCCAGGGCCTTTGGCAAGAGAAGCTCCAAGTTCTCAATGGCTATCTACACCCTCAGGCTTTGACCTCTGGAGAACTTTCTATTATTAGGCCACACTAAAGGCCCAAGCACAGTCCTAGCATATTCCTAGAGCACAGACCATGGGCAGCTTGGCCAATGGTCCTGTCAGATGGAGACACATAGTTAGGAAGCATGGATAAAGAAAGTCAAGGCCAGGCTGAGGTTGTCACAGAATCCCCCAAGTCTGACTGAGCTGTTGCAACAAAATCCAGAAATCTGCTATATTCCTTGCAGAGGGCCCATGCAGGACCCCTGACATCACCATCATCTGTGCTCTGACCTCGCGGCTCCCTGGGCTGCAAGGAGACAGGCTAGAAGAGGGGAGATAGGAAACCTGGAACTGGGGAGTAAACTACTCCCAGGCCAATGGCCCTGTGCAGAAGGGCAAATTAGGGGCCAGAGATCCCACAGGGCTTTGACATCCTTGTCATGGTAGGAGCTTCTGATGAGCACACAGCTGTGCGGCTCTGGCTGACAATGAGACTCCTCTCTCTGATCTAAGCTTGACGGCCTCCAGGCTGGAATTACGCATCTAGCACACCAAGAGCACTGCAAATACAGCACAACCACTTGCACGAGGAGCCTGTGCTTGGAGGGAGGAAGGAGAGGTAACAGGTTTGGAGGTTTAGGTTGAAGAGAAAGCACAAGAGTCTTCAAAGCCATGATGACCACTGTCCTTGGTCCTTTCCACATTAATGTCACAATTATGTCTGTAGAACTGGCCTGGTTTTAGATTCTTTATCCCAGAGAAGGAGTCCTTTTCATTGCTTAATTATCCTATAAATCTAAACAAAAAACAACACAAAGAAAGAAGGAAGAAAAACACGTCCTGCATTTATAGAACATCCTATGTGATCATTAGTTTGGTGACTCCTTGAATCCCCCGAGATGAGCTTCCCTTAGGAAGCTCCTCCCATAAAGCAGGAGAGAGAAAAGAGGGTAGTCTCTTTTCAGGGGTTAGGATTTCTTGGCCATGAAGGCCTGGAGCTGGGATTACGTGACAGGAAAACTCAGGTGTCCTGAGGGCTGATGGCAGCATGCTGGTTTGTCCCCCCTCCCCTCCCATTCTGCAAGACCAGATGCTGATCTCTTTTGCTATGGCCACCTCTCAGTCACATAGGAGCATCTTCTCTTCCCTGAATGTCCTCACCACGTCTCTGGGTCTCTCCATGTCTCACCCCTTTAAGAAGTGTCAGAATGAAAAGGGGAGTCAAGCTCTGGGGTTATAGCTGCGGTGCGGAAAGCAGGAACAGGTCAGGAAAGGGGACTGATTCCTATGAGGCTGGGAAACAGATTTTAGCGTGACCTTGGGCACAACTACATTTGCAAGGAAGCTATTACACTGTGCGGATGGCTGGGGCTGAGCACATGGCTTCGTTATTGGCTAGGCCTCCAGAATGCTTCAGAGGCTGACTGTTTCTTCCTATTGCTGGTCCACAGGAAGTGGAGGAGCCAATGCTTCTGGGTAACTGGCTGGAAGGGAATCCCTGAGTATAGGTGGACACATAATGAATATGACATCTCAGCACCAACTCAAAGGCCAAAATGGTCCCTGTTTTAGCTGGGCACTGAGAATTCTGGGATTAGGTCTTGCCTCTAACAGAGAGTCTTCCTTGGGAGACTTGGTTCCAGATCTTAAAGCATGGGCCTGGCCAGCAGGAGGAGGGGAGACTGCTGGGGGATTTCCTTTTGTCGGGGCTGAATTTTAGGCCCCGCACTCGCAAGGGTATTGAGCGTATCAGGAAGCTGAACGGGGACAACCCTTTACTTGGCACTGATGGGGGAAAATTCCTGCCACCACTCCCAGCCCCAAAGGAATTGGTAAGCCGAGGGTCACTCTAAGGACCAAGGGTAGAGGAGGCAGCCAGCCAGTTGGCATCAGGCTGGTTTAGTAGATTAGTATGTCAGGGTGGGGACAACTCACAGGGTAGGGATTTAGTGTAATCATTAGTGTCAATGAGGAAACCAGAGGACTTGCCTCAAAGTGATGGAAAAGGCCCCAGTGAATAATATACTTACTCTCTAGATATCCTAGGGAGGAAGGTCATTGAAAGAGAGAACCACGGGAAACAGGTTAAAATGGAAACATCAGTCTGTCTTGGTCTGGACAAAGTTGCACTCTGGGCTCTTAGTTTCTGCACCCTGCCGTTGCCCACCCTCCATCTCCTCCCCTTTGATATCCCAGTCACACTGCACAGTAGGAAGGATGCACCTTCGCCTCTCCTGCTTATGGCTCCATTCTCTCCCCCTAGACTCTGGTCTCTGCCTTCCTAGGATTTGAGACCTGCTTCACTGCCCATATATGTAGACTTGCCACATTGCCTAGATGCAGGATACTATTCTAAGGGGCTTCTAAGAAGCTGGGGGTTAACTAGTTTGAAGACAAGAACAAGCTTCTCTTCTATGTGGCTCTTGGTTTCTGGCCTGCCAGCTCTCAACGAGGTTAGCCAACGTCAGAGCCAGGCTGTAACGCATAGCAGATCCAGCATCTGGGTGGCGTGAGGGTTAGCCGTCAGATGTTCTGCAGCTGGCTAACCCCATTTCTAGCAGCAACCTTTGCCAACTAGTGACTACCTCAGGCAAGAATCAGATACCTTTTCCAATGTAGCTTCCTTGGGACAGTCAGCACAATAAAGCTCAATTGTC